CTTGCGCCAGCAGTTGTACACAGAAGCAGTTCCGGGAGCATGACGTATGAGGTCAGCGCTGCGCATGCGCCGGTGAGCCTCGTGAAAACCAACATTTGTTAACCGGAGCAAAGGAAGAAAAGTTTCCTTACTTTAGCAAAGGAAAACCAGTCTCCTCTTGGCTTATATCTTGATCTCTCCCCTGCGCTTCCGCGTGCGTCACTTCTGAGCGGCGCATGCGCAAAGCTGACCTCATACGTCATCCGCCCGGAGCTGCTTCTGTGTACAACTGTTGACGCAAGCTACATTAAAGTGATTATTACGTTTTGAATATGGATATTTTTCTTACAAAAACGCATCGATTTGTTACAGGATGCCTTTGTTCACCCCCCGGAGCCGTGTGAGACACTTTTTTTAATGTATGGGCACTTTTTATTTAACTTCTTTTGGACTGATGCATGCAACATCCGCTGAGTAACAGCTTGAAAGATCAAAGACCATTTTTAATATAACTCCAACTGGATTCGTCTGAAAGAAGAAAGTCATATACACCTAGGATGAGTTGAGGGTGAGTAATTTATAGGCTAATTTTCATTTTTGGGTGAACTAACCCTTTAAGTGGGACAGACAAGGACGATGAGATGCAGATCTAGTTGTAGCTTAACACTTTATTAAAAAATGAAACCGAATGGGAAGCCACAAATGGCAAGAAACAAACACAACAGCTTTACACATGACATGCAAAGACAATACCGGACAAGGAATTAAGGAAACTGAGGGCATATAAATACACAGAAAAATGAGAAACTTAACAAGACACAGATGAACTTAATCAATCAACCAGTGAGGATGATGGGGCTTTGGATGACCTCCATGGTGGGAATGAGGAAACGTAGGGAGGCCTCCATGGCTGGGATGCTGGATCTTGGAAACTGGACGGGACCAGCAGAGACGAAGGACCTTAGAGACTGGAGAGGACCAGTGGAGACAAAAGAGCTTGGAGGCTGGACGAGACCAGCAGGTAGGAAGGATTTTGGACAGGACCAGGATCTTACACCAGCCAGACGGGACTGACAGAGGAAGAGCTTTGAGGCTGGGAAAGCAGGTGGGACACCACTCCAGGATGGCGAACTGGATTAGTGCTCCTTCTGGAACAGACATGATGGCTGCCTCTAGCTCTGGAATAGACATGGTAACAGGCTCAGCCTCCAGGAAGAACATGGCCTCTGGCTCTAGCTCAGTGACGAACATCTCTATTGGCAGGAGGTCCGTGGCGAGCATGGTGCGTGGTGGGTACATAGTGGTCAATGCCATTCTCCACCTCACCCATGGTAAACGAGGGGCCATTTGTTGCGAGCATCAGCTCAAAGTAAATACATTTCCCTTGAGGATCATAAACTGAAAAAGGAATGTTGTGTTTTAT